TGGCACGCCGTGTCCTAATATACTTGAATAAAAACATCGCAACTCCCAAGATAGGGACTTTAACTTAAAAAAAAAAAAAATATATATATATATATATATATAGAATATATTCATATTTGATGTTTCTGTAATAAATCACAATTAATAAAGTCTGGTTTTAATATTTTTTGTAATAAATTGCAATCAATAAATTCTTTCTCTATCGGCTTTATATCAATTTTTAAAAAAAAATATTATGATGAAAGAAGATTTTTCTGAAAGTATTTCTGAAACATCATAAATATCTCAATCTAATGAGATTATGTACAAACAGAAAGCAGCAGAAGAATTAGGTTTTCGAAGAGTCTTGGTAAATAAAGGTGGACAACCAAAAGCAGTTGTTTGGGATAACTTTATTACTGGAGAACCTGATGGTAAAGGCCATTACGATGCAAAATGTAAATATTGTGTTAAAGAAAATTGGCAATGCGGAAGATCTGCAGGTATGGAGTCATATTTGGCTTTGCATTGTAAGGGTGAAGTTCCTGAAAATATAAGGCATTATTATTTAATTCAAGTAGCAAAACAGAATGATAAAATAAATAATGATAGTAATAATGAAAATGTATCATCATTTAGAATTCCATCTTCACACATTAAACCTATATCAAAAGAAAAAACCAATAAAATTAATAAAGCTTTACTTAAGGCTTTTATTTGTGCAGGAATCGCATTTTCTGTAATCAACAATCCATTTGTTCAGAATCTTTTTAGTATAATTGAACCAGGTTATAGTCCTCCTAGAAGAGTTACATTGGCAGAATGAGTACTTGATGAAGAAGCAACTCGTATAACAATATGAAGAGATAGTTTGCTTGACAAAGCACAAAATTTAACTAGATAAATATTTAAAATTTTGCTTTATTATTATTATTATTATTATTATTATTATCTAATCTATTAAATATTAATAGCACTTGATGGATGATCAAGTTCAATAAATGATTCATTATATAATTTTATTGTTTCGACTCCTGAGCATAAAGAATATTTGTATTCTATTTTAGATTTGTCTGATATGACACAAACAGGTGAATTTCTTGCTTCTAAAATTTCTGATATTGTTAATAAAATAGGTTCTAATAAATTTATAGCATGTATGACAGATAATGGTAGTTATATTTGTGTTGCTCGTAAAATTACAATGCATAATTACTCATATATTTGAAACATTAGATGTATCACCTACACATTAAATCTTATTGTAAGCAATATAGTCAAAATTAAATCTGTTGATCATGTTTTAAAACAGGCAAACCAAATTGTTCAATATTTTAAAAAGTCATACAGAGCAAGTCAACTTCTTTAGAATGGCATAAAAAGTATGAAATTAGAAGGTAGCAGCTTAAAGACTTATGTCGAAACAAGATGGGTCTCTATTTGTGAAACTATGTCTTCAATTATAAGACTAAAACCAGTTTTTGATAAGGTGTTGTATTAATTTATTTTAAATTTTAAATTTTGGTTTAAAATTTTATTTAAAATTTGTTTTTTATAGATCTTAGAACACAATCAGGATGTAATTAATAAGCCAGCAATTATTTCTTTATTGAATGATAATGATGATATGTTTTATGCCAATTGCCATAGAATTGCATCTATAATCAAACCTATTAAAGAAGCAATATACAATCTAAAGTCACATATTGCAAATCTTGCTGATTGCTTCATTAGTATAGTAAAGATAGCAGTAGTGATTCATAAAATTCCTTCAAACAATATATTTCATTAATCAACTATTGGTATATTTAATAAATGGTATGCTGAATATGATATTGAATTATATCTGCTTAATTATTTTCTCCATCCTGGTTATCGAGTTAATTCTATTTCAAATTTAAACTAAATTTATATATATTATATGAAATTATCTATATTTGGAATAATTAAAACATTACAGGTTTCTACATATTACTATATCAATATTAGTTATTTTATAAAAGCCTACGTAGTAATAATTTATTAGCATTAATATTAGATGATAACTTTTTTTTTTTTAATAAATTTTATAGGTCTTGGTTTGCAGCAAGGAATGTTTAGACAAATTTGCGAAATAGCTGTTAAATTTTATAAAGTATTTATAATGATGAAGCCACATGTCAACTAATGACTACACAGCTAATTCATTATAAAAAAAACAAAATTATCTATTTGATTTTGGTTATGATTCATCCAAAACACCTAGTTTGTGGTGAGGTGTAATTAAGGATAACTATACTTATCTTCAAGATCTTGCGCAAATTCTTTTTGCAATTGTACCTTCACAGGCAAGCTGTGAGTGTAATTTTTCTGTTTTACAATGTTTGTATAACACATATTGTTCACGATTATCTCCTGAAAAAATTGAAAGTATGACACAAATCCATTCTTTCTATATTTCTAATCTTAAAAATGAGCTTAAATATTATGGTAAAGAATTGTCTAAAGGTAAGTTGCGTGATAGTGCATTAGCTTTAACTACTTATGCTACTACAGAAAATCATGTAGTTTTAGAACATGAATATGCTTCGAAATCTGTTCAATCAATTAATGAAAAACTTCAGATCAGTTTTATAGTTGATTTATCACATACTAATTTTGATGGGCAGGGTAATTTTGAAGACATATCTTTTACAACACAAGGAAGTGGTAATATGGAATTCGATCCTGTAACAATTGTGGAAAGTGAATTTCAATTCGCTAATGAAGATTTATAAATAGTACAAATTTTGCATTATTAATAATAAATATGTACTATTGTTTAGAAATTTTAATTATTCTGAGTTAAAAAATTGAAATGTTATATAATGTTGACACGCTAAAGACATTGTTATTTAATTCGAATTTGAAAAGATATTATCAAATGTCTGTTGAGATGGCCGTGATCTATTAAAAGAACTTACCCCGAAGGTCTTATTTATGTTTTTTCTTCTACTTCATAAATAAATTTTTATATGTAAATTTATACATTAATATATAGATAATCGGGGCATTCGCAAGTTCATACAGTATATAGCTTCTGTACATTAAACCTTTATAACCTAGTAATCTCTTTTTATAGAGCAGCATTTGACTTCTGTGAATCCGGAAATGTCTCTGAACACGAAATTATACCGGAAGTTATAAATTAGGTACGTGAATGAAAATGTCTTGAAAGGATTTTTTATATCTCATAATTGGCCAATCATATTTGAATATATACGTCATTGTTTACGGTTTGGGTTACTACATAATTGGTAGAATCTAGTAAAAACCTTCGGGATTCTACTAAGTCCCAAACTATCGGGTTTGGTTTGCATCCCTAATTATAACATGCACTAGCGGAATAATATAGTATTGTAAATTTATCTATATGTTGCACAGATTGAACAGTTGATCGGCAGTTCACATAAACTCTCTAGTTCATATAAATTATCCTTCGAAAATACTGTATAATTCGCATTTGCAACCATTTGCAACAATTACATAATATATTTTTCAAGGTCTAAGGTTATCAATTGACTACTGTAATGAAAGCTTATATTAGATCTATTGTTATGATTATTTTCAAACACACATTCGTTTAACCTCTTAATCTTCGTCTCATCATCCATCCAACTTTTAAATCTCTCGCAAAGTTCCTCCGCAGTCGGACGATCCTTCGAGTTCACGCACCAACACTTTTCCATTAACTCTGTGTAAAATCGTGGATCTGTTTCGCTGACCGGTGGTCTAAACCCGAAAAGTATTTGCAATGCTTGACCCGACACATCATTCATGTCATAAAGATTTGTCACTGGTTCTCCATGCAATACTTCCCACATGATCATGCCAAAAGAATAAACATCAGATGCTGTCGTATACAATTGTTTTTCTAAGGCCTCTGGAGCAACAAACGGTAATATTCCATAGACTTCTCCATCATTCTGTTTCATGTATTGGATCGAAAGCCCCAGGTCCGTGATGTATGCGCTCTGTAAGTTATCTTGCAAGATGTTTCCGCTGTGTAGATCTCGATGAACAATTCCTTGAGAATGAATTGACTTGAGATCATAAGCTATGCTAAGTAACAAGCTTAGTTTATTTATCCATTTCATTTCCGAAACAGTTTTGAGATTATTTTTAAGAGAACCCTTTTCCGCGTATTTCAAACCGAGTATATAGTTTCCATTTTCGTTTCTTGATATACCGTAGCACTTCATAAACGAAGGATTTTTAACTCCAATTTCACAATATGATTTTAACTTCAAAACAAACGGTTAATAAATAAATGGGAAATACATATAAATAAATATAATGAATTGATTGGCAATACCTCATTCAAGCATTCATTTTCAAGTAATTCCTTGAGTGCGACAATGTCAAATCTAGGAGTCATTTTGAAATCCTTCTCTTTAACTTTTACCCGTGCTGCTCGAAATACGGTCGCAAAGCCGCCTCTTCCAATTTCTTCAATATCAAAAAATTTAAAAGGAACCCAAGACAATTGGTATTTATTATTATCTAATAACATCTTTACATCATAATTGATTTCAAGATCTTCACATTCACTATTTATATTTTCGTGAAAGTTACACTTTTCCATTTGAAACCAATAGTTAGCATCATCTATATTCATGGGTGTTCCAATACCATTTCGGTAACAGTAACCAATTTTTGACATCCCATCAATATCTCCCATCTCTGCTGCTTTTTTATAATAAGCGAATGCCTTTTGTTCATTTTTAATTTGATATTGATAATGATATCCGATTTGAAGCATTCCTTTGGTTTCTCCCATCTCCGCAGCTTTTTTATAGTAAGCGAATCCCTTATTTTCATCATTTTCCACTCCAATTCCATTACTATAACAATAACCAACTTCAATAAAACCATCACTATGACCCATCTCCGCAGATTTTCGAAAATAAATGAATGCCTTATATTCATCACTTTCACATCCTATTCCATATTTATAAAAACGTCCGAGCCCATATGTTCCATCTGCACTTCCCATCTCTGAAGATTTTTGATAATAAATGAATGCCTTTTCGAAATTCAATCCAACCCCGATTCCACATTCATAACAATACCCAACATTATATATTGAAGCAACATATCCCATTTCGGCAGATTTTTGAAAATATTTGAAGCCATTGTATATGTCCGTTTTAACGCCAATTCCATTTAAATAATAATTTCCAACATAAAATGCAGCTTTATCATGCCCAATGTCAGCTGCTTTTAGAAAATATTCAAATGCCTTGTATAAATTTTTTTCAACTCCATTTCCAACTTTATAGCAGTTTCCAACATTATACATTCCAAAAGCACTCCCCATTTCTGCGGACTTTTGATAATATTCGAAAGCAAGTTTGAAATTTCCCTTTGCATAGTATACTTGGGCATTTGAAATTAACGTATATGCATCATCTTTACACATTAAAATAATCCTATTGGAACCTCTAAAACATCTACCCATTCTAAAATCTCCTTTAATGCCATTAGAACCAGCATTCTGTAAATAAGTCCGTGCCTTTTGTTCATCCTTATAAACTCCGATCCCAAACTTGTAACAGTATCCAACCATGTACATTCCTTCAGCAAGACCCATATTTTCAGACTTTTTATAATACTCAAACGCTTTATCATAATCCTTTTCAGTCCCGCAACCAAATTGATAACAAAACCCAACCTGAAATGTACCTTTGTCATGCCCTTCCTTTTCTGATTTTTGAAAATACTGGAACGCTTCACGTTCGTTCTTTTCAACGCAAGCACCAACGCCATGAAAAAGGTCGTATCCAATATTATAATTTTTTGGTGAAATCACTTGAGAAAAATTCATTGTTTAATAAAACTTATTAACGATAAAATGACAATTAGAGATACGAACCGGATATCCACTAGCTTTACTTTATAGCAAAAAAAAAGGGGGTTATTCATAGGGATGGGCCACTGCGTAGCATGCGCATTATTTCACTGCGCAGAATTTTTGAAAAACTGCGCAGTATGATTTTAAAATTCAGGCTAGCTCGCATAATTCAGACCAGCTAGTAATAATTCTGGTCAGCTTGTATGATGCTGCAGGCTGCACATCCCTAGTTATTCGTCATACGCAAGCATGCACGCACACGTATATAAATTCTTTTTAAATAGATAAAATTGGTATTTTCACAAAAACAAAATCCATGCGATTCGGTAATTTAGCATGGTGAACAAAACCGATATTTAGTGATGATCTACGGTGCTTAGCCAATTTAATAAATTTTTTTTACACTTTAAAGTACTTTTTATTCTCGTAACTTCTTACAAGTTTTCAATTAAGTTTGACAAAAAAAAGTAAAAAAACGAAAGCCCTTTGCATAACCTATATATTATACTATTAAATTTAATTTAAAATAATTTAAATATTCATGATTTTTTACTAGTATCAACTTTTATTTTTAATGTTAAGGTGAGTAAGTACTTGTAACTTAGGATTTTATTGATAGTATGTTTCAGCTTAATGGTTGCATTATAACAATTACTGAAGGTAATCATAAGAAGAGTGTACAACTAGTCACTTATATAATTTTAGTCATTGTCTAATTTAAGTAGTTTGCTTAAAGATTCTATACTAGTTGTTATATTTAAAACCTGTTTGTGAGTTTTTTATTTAAACATTTTGGTTTCTATATTTATCTACATACCTATTTTACTAACTATCCTAGTTTTTATCAGTGTAAATATGTCATGATTATTAAGTCTTTAAAAAGTAGTTTATTTATGTAAAGATTTTTGATTTTATACTAAATATACTAAAGTTTTTTATATCCTAATATCTAGCTAATTTAGTATTTTGTTATAATTAAAACCAACATTTGCAGTTAGATTTAACTATTAAATTATTAGAATTTATATAATTCTAATATTCTTTTTACAATCTTATCAGTATCTTGTATATTCTTACAAGTTTTTTTATATTACTAATCTAGTTAGCTTTGCATAATATAATTTTATGTTTAGATCAACTAATAATCAAGTTAGTAAATTCTTTTACTTAGAGATTCTTACTTATACAAATTATTTGCTTTAGATTTTTTTTTAGATTAAAATTTTTACAAATAATGTCATTGAAGATTGTATTATCTTTTTTTTATTCAAATTTTTCAAGTAAGCTTTCTTATTTAGTATATATTTTTCAGATTTATTTATATAACATTGTATATTTTTAAAATTAGTCTTTATACAATCAGAATTACAGAATTACAATTTCAGATACCTTATTCAAGTTGTTAGTTTCTAGCTTCTTATTATAGTTTATATTTTTTGAATTAATTTATATAATATTGTTTATTTTTAAAATTAGTTTTAGTACAATTAGAATTATAGAATTACAATTCTAAATACTCTAGGAGTGTGGTAACCTAGTAAAGTGGTCAGGTTGTCAACCCTTCAAGTGGTAAATTAGGTGTTCAAATTCTATCAATAGTGAAAATTTGGATAATCACCTATGTAATATTCATATTATGACAACTATTACTAATAATTAGGTTAGGATACCTGTAATAGTGATCACACTAGCATGACTAGCAAGTCATGGATATTCATACAACAGTTATGTAACATTGTTCTTTGGAACAAGATCTGTAGTTATATAAAGAAATGCAAACTGGCAATTAGATAATATAAATACTAGATAAGTCTTTGTGGCTGTATAAATTCATTGAAATTAGGTAACAAGAAGTTTATTTGGAAAGATCTAAATAAAGAGGTGGCTGGATCTTTGATGCCTCTAGTGTAAAGACTAGCCTGATAAAATGGATACCAAGGTCTAGTACTTAGTTATAATAGTTAAACAGACAAAAATCTTTAAGTTGTAAGTCTTAAAGATATTACTAATCAGACTACCAAAATGAACTGAAGGAAAAAGATATTAGGCCAACTAATATACTGATAGACTGGTTATAGTTCTATACAAGCTATCTGAATTGGGAGTTTGGTAAAAAGTTAGAGAAAAAGGCAAGGGTATACTAAAGTACTAGAATTATGCTGTGAAGTAAATATTAGAATCTAAGTGCACTCTACAAGAGCATAGTGATTTAATAGTTAAGCCCTGACTACAAGTGTTACTTTTGCCATAGCAATACCTAGATCAATTATAAAAATAGATACAAAAGGCTCTAGAGAATTTAGCTTAAGGATAAATAAGTCCTAAGGCTGAAATAATGATCTGAGTATCTTAGTATGATCCAATGAGTTAATACAAATTATAGGTTCAGAGAGTTTAAAATGGAACATCTAAGTAAAGGTGTTAGGTATAGCAATTGGTAGAGAATCTTCAGGCAGACTTCTTAAATAGGTAATATAAAAAAGTTACATGTATAGCCAATTGTATGCTCTTCTGTAGTAGTTCATTGAACCATAATACTAATAAATGATTAATAAAAGTCAAAAGATCAAAGAGATTATCTTAATACCAAAAAAAAAAATTTAAAAAAAATTTAAAAAATTAAAATATTTATTGATTATAACCAAATTAATTATATTTAATTATTTAATTTAATTAGTACTAATTAATCCAAAACTATTTATATAACTAATAATTTTAATTTTTAATTTATAATTATTAAATTATTATAAAAATAAAATTTGAAAATAGTAATCCTAATGTAGTGGTTGGGTTGTTATCCTCCAAGTAGCAGGTCTAAGTTTCAGATTCCACTTATGATAAAATTTGAAAATTAATTTGTGTTACAGAAATTGTCTTCTGTTAATTAGTTGATCTCATGCAGCTATAATCTAGGTACACCAAGTC